TATATATATAGTCCACTGGCTGTCCTTAACAGTTTTCCAATATTGGATACACCCTAAAAGTGGAAGCTCTGAGTATATCTTTAATTTTACCCAGCAGTCCAGTCCAGTTTCCATGTTCCTTTGGCCTGGTACAGAACGGGAAACAAGTGGCAGGAAATAAGAGGCGTGTTCTGTGTGTCCTGCTGTAGCTCTGAGCCAGTGTCCGTGCGTTTGTGTTTCTTGCTCTCCTCTGATTTGCATTGTCCCCAACGCTGCTGGCTGATTTCCACTGGCTGGGCATCGGTCTATGGTAGCGCCTCACCTCATTGGATTAGGGTCAAATCCTAAGAGGATTGAAGTCTGCAGAGTCAAAGTTTCTCATGAGGGACTGGTTTCAGTTTGATTAGAGGTGAGGCAACTTGTCTTTGTTGTGTAGACTTTTGGACAGACTTTGTGTAGTCCCAGATGGAGTGTGACCTTGAGAGCAGAGTGTYCAGCTCTGAGCACATTTTGTTGGGCTTTATGTTCTGTGAATGAAAACGATTTTATGGAACATTAACATGTCATCCAGGATAGTGTACTCAGTATTTCCGCCCTAGTGAAAGTTGTGTAGTCATGTTAGTTTTCATGTAAAATTCAGCTGAGCTTTTTTTCCTCACAGTGACGTTGTGAACTTTGGTGTTGCTTTGTCATTATCAGCGTCTAACAAAAAAAAAAAAAAAAACTTCTCAAAGCAGTTCTGATCTAACACTTCAAGGTTGTGGATGAAAGACTAAGAAGTTGATTTATTTTTTTTCTGTTTTCTATTTCCCTGTAAGGGTTTGCTCATAGAATTAGTTTAACAAAGAGTAAATTAAATGAAGACAGATATTTGGTTCGAATTATAACTGAATATTGCTCAGAATCTTTCTCATGATAAGGTTTATATTTTATTTTAGGGCTCCAGTCATTGTTGACCCTGAATGATTTGTTCTGTTACAAGTTTTTGCCATTTTTCTAAAGCACCTGGTTAAATCCATCCATTATATTTACCCACTACTCGTGGGGGTTGCTGGTGCCAATGTCCATCAGTCACTGTGTGAYGGATACTCCTTGGACAGGTTTCAAGTTCATTACAGGGACACAGAGAAAAACTATTCACATTCATTCTTAGGAACAATTTAGAGTCACTAATTATCCTGACATAACTTGATGGTTCATGTTTGCGTCAGATTTATTTAATAGTTTTTGTGTGGATCTTTTCTGAAGAGATGTGATGAAACAGTGCTGGGTCCAAAACAAGTTTCTAGAGGGACTATAGAAGCATATTATATTATATTGTTTTTTTACTGTACTGATTTGACAAAAAAATGGATTTAACTTAAAGCAAATTCAATTTTATCTAATGAATTTCAACCTGGTTCAGCAGTTTTCATAAACACTTTTTTTTCTCTTATGTTTTCTCTCATCTTCCGGAGTTTGTCCTGGTTTGAAGAAATTATTGAAGATTGTTGGATAAAATTGAATCAACAGTTAACTTAGTTTATCAATTTAGTTGTTACCAGGCTGGAAACTCATTAAACCAGAGCTTCTGTGAGGAACTTGAAGGATCTTCGGTCACACATCCAACTCTCAGTTTTTCACCAGTAGAAACTGGGATTTGTTTTTATTCTCGGCAGTTCATGGAAATGCATAATTTTTATTAGAAATAAATAAACTTCTAGTATCTGATATGCATGCGATATATACCAAGTAAGTACTCTATAAGAACAAATAACAGATACATAATCTGAATTAAGAGGTACATTAAACTAGGTACATAGCAGGTAAGTACCAGGTATGTACTCGGTAAGTAAGAAGTGTGTTCTTTGTAAGTAGCAACTGGTAAATATCAGGTATGTACCAATTAAACCAGGTTTGTAACTGCTAGGTACCAGGCTCATATCCAATTAGTAACAAGTAATGTATGTGCACTGTAAGTACTAGGTATGTAATATGTTAGTACMTGGCAAGTACTTAAAGGTAAAGCAGCGTGTAATTGGTACATAATTGGTACTTACCAGATATGTACCAGTTTGCATCATGTATTACCACCAAACTTTTTGGTGGTTTTTTTTAGTACCTAATGATTTTAAGTATCCCAAATCACTTTTTWAAATATTTATAATATGTATATGTAACACAAGCTTGTTTTCAGCTTGTTTGACTTTTCTATCTCCTTAAAAAATAAATAAAAAACATGAACTTGAAGTTGTTATTTACACGGCACGTATTATGCATGAGGTTCTATAAAAATGCATAGGTTGTCACTGAACCTTTGGCATTTATGAATTTTGCATACTTCAAATGCTGTTAGTTCAAATCTCATGTTTTGTGCTTTAACTTGGCTTGTAGACTGAACGGTTTAGAATTAACTGGACAGTTTCGGGGGGTGATTGGGGTTTATATTGTTCACATCAAGGGATTATAGGAACCCTGCAGGAAAAATCTCCAGTCACACTCCACTGGGAAATCCCATCTTATAAGATCAGCCGAGGGAATAACAGGTTAATGGAAAATAAAGCAGACAGCAGCTGGTCCAGGCTCACACAAATAATACAACAATGTACAATTGTAGCTTGTAACATGAATTCCTTCTAGGAATGCTAGATTTCTATTAAAWGATGGGCTGTACAAACTGTGATTATATAAATTAATATTATTCTAAGCATTWGGTAAGAAATTATGTACTGTTTATCCTGTTGCAGTAGCACTACTGGCAACAATGTGTCTCAGAACGGGACTGAAAATATAAAACGAGAGGAGTTTTGACTATTGCTCAGTTTTAGGAGCTGCTGTGAAAAATGCTAAGCCGTGTCTCCGMATTTGCATATTCCTGAAAACGTGTGTCTATTTTTGTTGTATCTTGTTGTACCCATCCTTCACTTCCTGCCCCGTTTTTCACAGTTGGTGTGGCTGTGCMGACGGACGGTGAGCCATGGAGGACGGTAAGCCGGTGTGGGCGCCCCACCCCACTGAGGGGTTCCAGCTGGGCACGATCATTGACATAGGAGCCGACGCACTCACCATAGAACCACTGAACCAGAAGGGCAAGGTGGGTCACCGCACACAAGCGCACACACAAACCGTCTCTCTCGATTTGCAAGCAAACTGGACATRCATTACCAAAACATTGTCTTGCTTTAATCCCAAAAGACTCATCACTCTGCACTCAACACACAAACGCATGTGCGATGGGTATCCTGAATAAAAAGTGACAGTTTTGTTCCAGGTGGGTGTGATTTGGGGTTGGAAGGCGTTAGCACAGCAGCGCATGAAATGCSAGAAACATGAGAGACCGCATGTACAAAAACATAAATAAGTAAAGGGCAGCAGCAGGTGTGCTGATAGCGTTGCCTGGAGTGGGAGCAGCTCATTAGGAGATAATGGCCACCTGTTACACCTGAGTCATCACGTGTCTGCAGCCAGCAGCCCTCTGATGGTTACAGCAGACATGCTCAGTAGCAACTGAGTATGGCATGCCCTTTTAACATAAAAACGTCTTTGTCTGTCTATCTGTAATTACATTCTAGATATCTAAAAATGAGTTTTAACTAAAAGCAGCTACATTTTGACTATCCTGAATGGTAATTTAAGATACCTGTGTTTGAATTCTGACTCGTCAGAATAACAATTCAAGACATCTTAAAACGATTTTTAACTAGTCAAAATGTTATCCAAGATATCTGAAATGACATCACCAAATTTGTCATTTGAAGGGTCGCCCAACTTTAATTACAATTCCAGATATCTCAAACATAGTTATGACTAGTCAAAATAAAAATTTTAAATATCTGAAGTAAGAAATTGCGTGTAAGTCCCCCACCCCCGCCGCCACTGAGCTGTCCAAACAGTTGCCTGCAGAATTTTGGTTGACGTCAATAACAGACAGTAAATTAATCAACTTTTTTTGAGTCATGCCGATCTGCAGCAGTAAAAATCATTTTAAAACACACAAACATGACTTGCACTCATCTAACACTGCAGATCACTGAATAGCAAGTAAGGCTATAGCGGCTTAGGAAAGCTAAAATGTCTTCAAAACTTTCTGCCYAAATGCTACGTAAATCTGTGACGTTTTGACTAGTCGAAATGTTAATTCAAGATWTCTTAAAAAGAAAAGCCATGTAGATGAAAAAATGTTCACGATATCTTAGATTTATTTGGAGATATCTAAAAAGGAATTCTGACTAGTCACAATTACATCTCTAATTAAGTTTTGCCTAGTCATTATTTGCATTCAAGGTCTCTGTAATCTAAATGGAATTAGTCAAATATTTATATCGGATATCCACAAATACATTTACTTTATCTTTACCCTTTTCAGCCCCAAGGGATTTTCTCTATGTTTTTGTTTGAAAGAAATACATGCCGAAATGTAATTGAGTGTATCTCGGCATTTACAAACTCTACTTAACTAATCTTGGTATCAAAATAAAGCTAACATGGGAGGTTTCATCAGAAATGTAAGTGTTAAAACAGCTGCTGATGTTTTAGAGATATTAATGATGGAACAGAATTTATTTTTCCCTCCCACCTGAAGAATTTTTGCATTAGACAGTATATAACACATTTAAAACCATAATGAAGACGGCTAGAAACTCTTGAAAACCATAAATCCACACGTGGACATTACCTGTGCAAAGATTCATGCAGTTAAAATAAACTAGAGCAAAGTTACAGAGGTTTTAGTAAAGAAACAGTTTTATCATTCTGCACAGGAGCAGGACAGACCATGATGGTACCATCAATAAATGTTAAGAAATTGTAAGTTTTTAATTGCAAAGGTTATTTATTTTTTCTTACCTGCTAAAAKAGACTTGTTGTTGAATGTTTGTTTATTTGAAAAATTATCCAAACATGTGTCACCATATACAGTACATTATCTTATATAAAATCTATAATACTTTAATCATAAACCAATTTCAGATATCAGGAATATAAGTGTGGTAAAGCTGATTTTATGTTAAAATTGCTTGCCAAAGTTGTGTCGCTTTTTGTTTAAGTGCTGTTTCATCTCAAGTCAAAAATGATCACTGAAGGATGACTTTAATCGTTTAATTTTTGTTCATGTTCAAGAAAGTAAAATGCTATGAAAAACATTTTTTACTGGGATGTATCTGCAATACTGGCAAACAAACAAAAAAMCTATTTATCTGCTGCGCTGCAACAGATCAACAAAAAGCTGGATTAGTAACGTTCTGATAAACTTTTAAATCAGACTTTTCCTTTTAAAAGAGCTTGTTATGAGCTTTATAAGTTAAATGGAAATGTGTTTTCATTTCCGTAGCTATACATTTTTAACGATCATCATCACATAAAGTATTTAATAGATTTATAAAAAAAACTATCAAAGACCATTTTCTCTGCACAGAACTGAGACTCGTTAGTGCGTCAGCCTGTCTGCCTTTTTTTCAAGCCGTTTTATTGGTTCAGCGTTTTTCCACATAATTGCCACTGTGGATCAACATGTAGGTGTTTGTGCCAAGATCCTGCAACAAGCACACAAAGCTCACTCTGTTTATGACCATCGGCTGTCTGTGGTAATAAATCATGCATCGCCGTGCAGTGGATCACGTTCACACTGACAACCAGTTGTATTATTACACAGCAGAAAGTGTGTTCTGACCATTAAATATAATGAGGGAAAACAGTTTAATAAATTAGAATATACTGCAGGAATAATGGCACCCACTTCTTTTTGTATATATAGGCGACACTTACATTGTCTGAGGCTAATTTCATTTTGAATGTGAGGCTTCTCTTTAATAAAAATGTGACATAATTTGGTCCCAAAAATGATCCCAAAGCTTCAGCATCYTCCTGAACACACACTGACTCAGTCAGGTGTTCAGATCCTGTTGCTCTCCCACCAAATTATTCATCACCCTGCCATGTCCCTCCTTGTTTCTCTCACAGCTGACTTGTTCCATTGAGTTTATTTCCATTAACTCAGACTTTTGTACAAAAGATTGAGAGCTCCAGCAGCTACCTCAGCCTGTGAACATGTCACACCATGTGACATTCTCTGTGTTATTGATATGTAATTAACTTACATTCTGTTTTTTTAATGCAAACAATGAAAAACTTGTACATCAATTTCAGCACAGATTGAAAGCAGTATTAGTTTTGCGTTGCATGACTACATATAGGTGTTACAATAAGTCAATTTATATTACAGACTTTTCTTGCTCCCATGAACTACGTCTTCCCYGCTGAGGATGACGTCAACAAATATGTAGACGACAACTGTAAGTGTTTACAAGACTGACTTTCATTTAAAATAAAAAAATWGTTTTGATTTTGTTCTGTTAGATTTGATTGTGTGCTTTCTCTTTTTTCATTCCAGGCTCTCTTATGTACCTAAATGAAGCCACTCTTCTCAACAATGTGAAAGTGCGATACAACAAGAACCTCATTTACGTAAGGTTTTTTTTTTGGCTTCTGTTTAACGTGAACTTCTTTAGTTCAAATACACCTTGTGGTCCTATTTATATGTGAGCTAAAGGCTTAGCTGTCCCATTAGATCAAATAGCAGGTTGTGGAGCAGAAACGATCCCTGGAGAAAAAGATCCAGCTGGTAACGAGGTGGGGAACGGCTAGACAAGAGTCAGACTACCTTGCCTCAATCCCTCCATTTAGGAAATTAGAAACAGCTGGTTGATGAAAAAAAATGCAAATCATGAAAACAAGTTCCACCAGTCTTCAGCAGGGTCTTTTTCACCTTTGTTGATTTAACAAAGACCTAAATAATTCAACTACTGCGACTCTAATTCTGCTTCTCTTTACTTCTCTTGCAGACGTACGTGGCTAACATCCTGATAGCTGTTAATCCGTACTACGATATACCTAAACTGTATGGTCCTGAGGCCATCAAGTCGTATCATGGGAGGTCACTGGGCACTCTGCCACCCCACGTTTATGCTATAGGTGAGAGCTTATTATCTGGGCTAAGGTACATTTTAAAGGTAACAGTTTAAATATTTTTAAACATCCTGCTCAAGAAATAAAAATAGCCCAAATGTGCACTAGTTCACTCCATATGAGCCCTGTCCCTTCATCTCTCTACATCGCTTCAACTGTTCCTCAGTTGGCCTATGTTCCTTTTACCCTGTGTATCCCAAAACAGAGCCTGCTGTGACGTTATTGGTGGGCTTTCKCAGAGTATGTCCAATCCAGCTCCATTTTCTTCTCACTGTTTGACTTACCATAGTTTCTTCCCCTGTATATTTCCATAAATCCTCATTTCTTACTCTAATCTTCCAGCCAATTCCCAAAATTCTTCATAAGCAGCATTTAACAAAGACCTGACTCTTGTGCTGTCTTCATAGTTGTTCTTATTTCCGCACCATATAGCAGGACCGACTTCATGTTAGATGCGAAAACTGCGAAGCTCAGTTCTCATTGTGAATTGTCACTTTGCTTTTGTTAAAAATAATGTTTTATGTTTATTACAGCGGACAAAGCCTACAGGGACATGAAGGTTTTAAAGATGAGTCAATCCATCATCGTATCTGGTGAATCTGGTGCTGGAAAGACTGAAAACACCAAGTTTGTTCTCAGGTATAACTTTTTTCTTTTTATTTTTTTTCTCCTCTTCGTGATTTAAATAACTTAGTTCCAGTTAGTTTAGTTTACTTGTCCCTGAAGTTCAGAAGATTTGTGAGCCTAAAATAAAATCATAAACCTTTTAATGTTTCAGGTTTTAACTTTGTTTCAGTATTTTACTCAGACATTTTATATTAGTTTTTTTCAAAGTACATTTTTACTCAAGTTAGAGATACATAATTAAATATTCAGACTCCAAGCTGCAAAACCAACATGACTACTCATTTCCGTGCATAAAGTACACAAGTCAATGCAAATGCACACCGATCTATTCAGTAAAGGCAGTGTTTGTACTGTAGGTGGCCTGTAAAGTAACAAAGGTAGGTTTATAGGTGGCTAATAAGTTCAACATCACATCATAATATGACTCTTAACAAGTTTAAAAGTCAAATTAGTAGCGAAATATGTTTTGTCTTTATGGCAGGTACTTCTTTATTGCTACTGCTGCTGAATATCAAGTAAGCATAGCTGCTTTGCAAGTGAAAACAGTTCTGGTGCTGTCTTGTTTATTTTTATTTTTTTTTTCACTCTCATCCTGCAGATATCTGACGACAACATATGGAAGTGGTCAGGATATTGATGAGAGAATCGTAGAAGGTATTGTGTTACCAAAATTGTGACTTATCTCTGCATTCATTAAAGATGGTCTAATTATAAGTGCTCCTTTTTTTCCATTTTATGCCTCAGCAAACCCGCTTCTCGAGGCCTTCGGGAATGCGAAAACCGTCCGGAACAACAACAGCAGTCGATTCGGGAAGTTTGTAGAAATCCACTTTAATGAAAAAGTTAGTGGGGATGACTTTATTTTGTTTAGGCTTGTTTTATACTCTAAATAAAGTTTGTATTTGGAACTAAATGTGCTTTGTGTGCCACCAGAATGCTGTCGTAGGAGGATTTGTCTCCCACTATCTGTTGGAGAAGTCAAGGATTTGCATGCAAAGTAACGATGAGAGGAACTACCACATCTTCTACAGACTGTGCGCCGGTGCCTCGGAGGACCTAAAGAAGAAATTACACCTGGACTCTCCAGATAACTTTAGGGTCAGTGTGCAAAGATAAAGATATAAGCTTATAGAGATATGATTTCTCAGGAAAATAAAACCTTTTAAAGTGATATGAACCAAAATCTTATATCAGATACTTTGATAGAAGTTGATAATAAAGCTATGTACTTACAAGATATGTACCTGGTAATGTACATACCTGGTAAATATGTGGATTAGGCTTTTTTTATGAAGTAACTTGTTACCCTGTACTTACAAGGTGCATACCTGGTACTTATCAATATGTACCTGGTGTTTAACTGGTACTTTGCTGGTATACACAGGGTATATACGTTGTACCTACATGGATCAGGATATGTTATGACGTGATTGTTTCCCTGATTTTACTGAGTATGTACAGTATATGGTGCGTTCCTGGTACCCCATGAGTACCAGATATTTACTTGATAAGTTTCAGGTATGTGCTCAGTAAGTACCAAGTACACATCAGGTCAGTACCACACTCTATTGTATGTTGCTACCAATAATTTAAGTTTTTTATTTGCAGTCAAACTGAAATCTGAACTTAAGTTGTCTTCTTTTTGTTACAACAGAAAAGATGATTTTGATCTTTTCTTTACTTGCTTGTTGATGGTTTGTYACATTTTATGAGCACTACTGGTCTGCAGTTCAGTGAGGCCATAACACAGATTTTTCTTCACATAATATAAACCTCCATTGACTGACATTAAGTTTCCCCATTGAASAATATATCATGATTGAGTTCACTTTTGCCTTCTATTATCATCTCCACTGGGACAAATTCAGCATTAACTTCTTATCCCACAGCTTTATTTTCTRCTACATGTTCAATCAAGTCAGCAAATAGCAGAAGCACAAACCCACGAGGCACCACTCACATTAATAGAAATARTGGTTTTATGCAATTTGTCAACTTGTTTGTAAAGCAGAACAGTGAAAACATACATTTTCTCTGTAGATTTGTCACCAAGAATGAGTTAAATGRACCAGAATAGTGAATATGTTTATTGATTTTCAATTTTTTTTTCTTTTTCAGTATCTGAATCGAGGATGCACCAGATACTTTGCCAGTAAAGAGTCTGATAKACAAATACTGCAGAGCCGCAAGAGTTCGGAGGTAATCTCTTCCTCCCTCTTGGTTTAGTCATTCTTATCCAAGACTGTATACACTTTTTTTATTTTTACTAAAAATAAATTTCATGTTTACTGTAGTTTATTTTACCTGGGCCAATCAAAAAACAGAAGGCGGAGTTTTGAACGACGTCGACTTTCTGCGCAGTGTCTGGTCGTTATTTTAGCATACGGCAGTGGAGGAAGTGAATGAAGCCAGTCTGTGTTGATAAGGCTTCCAAATTAAAATAAATTCATCTGACAAAGCAGCAGCTCTCATTTACAGTCGTCTCGTTCGGCTCGGTACTTCTCTCCTCTCAGTAGGGTTGTTTACAGCGCACGCGATTTCCGGTTAGCTTCTTAGCTTAGCCTCCGTCACAGCGACATACGTCGCAGCCAACTGATCCAATCATTTTAAACTTCAGCAGAGGCCACGCCTCCTGCAAGAATCACTTCTCTATGCATCAAGTCCAGACCCTAGTACGAAGCAAAGTGAAGGACAGGGTCTGGTTTAAACCAGGCTACCATATTTCATATTAAAAAGTAAAATGAAACGGGGTTTAAAAATGCAATTTTCATGTTCAATTTTGTGTTCACAGCAGTGATGCAGATGCACTAAATTATAAACAAACCACATCTTTCTTAGCTACCAAGGCAATATACAGTATGTAGCAATAGGAGTTTAAAATATTCTTTATTTTATCAAAGTCAGAGATTGAAGAATTTTCTCATCCAAATTCAGTAGTTTCATCACAGCTTACTTTTATATTTCATTCATTTACCTTGTGAAGCTGTAGGTGTAATTCAACTATCACATTGCTAACTGTCTGTTCTTCTACATGTCTGTGTTTTATACAGGACAATAAGGTGATGTTTCTCTTCTCTTTTGGGTTCTATGCTCCCTTAGTTTTCATGTATTTTCTTTCCTAGACTAAATGCTCGACCTGTGTGAGTTCCTGTTTGTTGGACAAACAGGACACTTCCTCTTTTTCTGCATTTGCATGCCGCGTTTGGATTTATTTGGGTAGTTAAAGTGCTTGATCGTTCAGCTGTTTMTTGTCATTCAAATCAGGGCTGCGTRATCAAAAGATTTTTGTTTGAAATCTCCTTACTTCTGAAATTTGTTTTTAAAATATTATAAAAAAAAACTCATTCTGTTTCTTTCAAGCCAGTTCTTCAGAGTAGTTTGTAACATTGTGGTGTATTCAGAGCCATAAACACAGTTGAATTGTGCAAGCCTCATAATTATTTTTTTRAGCATATAATTGATCTTTAAGTTTGACAGGTAAAATGGACTGTAGCTCCTCATTTATCCATTCACAKAGCACTCTACAAAGCTAATCTGTATAAATCATTCTATGGAGACTAGTCAGTGCTTTAAACCACATTCATACACTGATGGGGCACACATCAGAGGCAGTGGTGGTTCGAAGTTTTGCCCAGAGATGCTTTGACTGAATATCAATGGAATCAAACTGCCAACTCTCTCATTAGAGAATGACTCCCCTAACCACTCAGCCTCAGCCACCCCTAAATTGGTTTTCTTATTCTAGTTAAAATCCTTTACATTTATGCCTCAATTCTTCTAAGTATGGCAATAATTCTGTCATAAATCTTTGCTTATCATGGCATGTGGAAGTAAATCTACTGTTTCTTTTAAAGCGGGGAGCTTTGTGTTTTTCTCTTGGTGGTGGAGTATTATTGGAAAACATTTAGCTTTTTCAYTTTCTTCTTTTCATTTTGTGGTTCAGTTCACATCAAAATCAGATCAACTCATCTCATCAAGACAATTAACGCTAAAAGATAACAAATGATGCTGTTTGAGTAAATGATTTGATTTGAACTGAATTACTAAACACCTTATCTCTTTGGAGGTTCTGATTGCCAGGTGTGTTTTTGCAGCATCAAAAGGGGGGCGCCCTGAAAGACCCCCTTCTCGACGACCACGGAGACTTCAACAGGATGTGTGGGGCCATGAAAAAGATTGGTCTGAATGACACGGAGAAGCTGGACCTTTTCAGGGTCGTTGCTGGAGTCCTGCATCTGGGCAACATTGACTTTGAAGAAACGGGGAGCTCCTCGGGTGAGGCTGAAGCTAGAGTTACAAATATTTTAGCTTTGTTTTTGGCTTTATACGTGTAACTTTAAAGGTTTTATCATTGCTTTGTCATGATTTATTTATCCTTTTTAGGTTATATACAGCGGATAAAATAAGTATTGAACACGTCAKCATTTTTCTCAGTAAATACAGTGTATTACTAGAGGTGCTAATGACATGAAATTTTCACCAGATGTCGGTAACAACCCAAGTGATCCATACATACAAAGAAATCAAACCATAAATGTCCAGAAATGAAGTTATGGTAGTTAGTTTTGGTAGTTTTCTTTAACAGTTTCTGGTCCAACAAAAAGTCTCATTCATCGTCCTCCGGCGCACTGAAACTG